TTGATCAAATTAGATTAAAGTTATAAGATCACTATCACAAGACTTTAAATGGAATGGCCCCATTATTATGACAATTGAAATAGTAATTAAATTTGATATTAACTACTAAAATATCAGTAAGTAAAAAGTTTGAATATGTCAAAGTCTCCAAGCACTTAGCTCATGATAGCAGACCAAATTTAATTATAAGTTAAAATCTGTATCACAACAATTTAAATGAAACGGCCTTATTATGATAATTGACACTGTAATTCAATTTGCTATTAACCACTAAAATATCAATAAATACAAAGTTTGAATATTAGAATCGGACAAAGTCTGATAGTCCGTACTCAATTATATACTCTCTATTTTGCTCTTGATTTTATTAATTTTAGTCATTTTAATAAATTATATTTAATATAATAAATAATGCTCCTGGCTTCTAGCATAAATTATGCAACTATAGTAGTAGTTATAAAAGGAAAAAACAAAAAGAAGAAGCATGGCTTTGCAGTTGATAATACACTATAATCAAAAAACCACCTCCTCCTCCTCCCTCCTGCTGCTGCTGCAATTGCTATTGCCATGGCTAACAAAAACATCGGCGCAAAATTCATATGCTAAGGCTGGTTGTCAAGAAATCTGCGGAGATGTTTTAATTTCATTTCCTTTTGGAATTGGTCCCGGTTGTTACTTGAATGACTGGTACAATGTAGAGTGCAGGAACTCCCACAGCAGCAGCAGCTACTAAGGATTCGCACCTTACATAAAAAGCGTCAATCTTGAGTTCTGTCAATTTATCTGGAAACTATGTTCAAGTCAAGAATCCAGTAATATCTTCCCACTGTCCCCTTGTTAACAATGGATGCACAGGCACAAGTTTAAACAGTGTTGACTTGACCAATAGCCCTTTCCTCTTCTCAGAAGCGTACAATTTATTCATGACCGTGACCTCGGACTCCAATAACAACAACAACAATAACACAATAGTTGCCATGACAGATATGCACAACAAGACGATTACCCGGTGCACGCCTACTTGCAATTTTACTCAAAATTTCATCAATAATACTAGCTGCTGAACTGAAATCCCTGCAGATACCAAAGCAAGTTTGAGAGACTATATGAGTGGAAGTGGAGTGCAACAACAACAAGAGTGTATATATGCATTCTTGGATCACCAAATAGTAAATGGGTTCTACTTTTACTTTGATATTCATATCCCTGCTGTTCTCGAATGGGTTTTACACAATACTACAACAGACCTCGGTTTGGCACCTTACGATAAAAACAGCCCATGTTTAATGTTGTCCCGTGTTACTCCTTCCTTATTGGAGGGGAGGTGTGTTGTTAAAAGCATCCAATGCCATTGCAGGTATCCCTTTGTCGGAAATCCTTATCTTCCCAATGGATGTGTAGGTACGTCTTATGCTCTCTCAACCTATCTACCTATGTCTTTGAATTAATGTTCAAGTGTTAAATATGTGTCTTTAATTTTCTGATAGAATTTATCGTAATTATATGCAGATGAATGCTCACAATATCCTAACCTTCCCTGGTGCAAAAGTCGGAAAGACATTATCATTGGTAAGCTCATTTTCCCTTTTAACTGTTTGAAGAATTCTACAAGGAAAAAGCTAGATGCTCAAAATAATTAATAAATAAAATAAAGAATTTTATTAAGAATTAACAGTAACTTGTGGTTCAAATTGAATTAGTGTATGGTGGGATTCATACATAAAGTGAATCTGAACAATACATTAATATTTCTAAATAAAATTTTAGACAAAACACACTAATATTTACACCCACACACATTCATAGACAGAGTGGGTCTTTATGTGAGAATACAGGTATTATTATCTTTTATCTATACAATTTTATAATTGCATAGAAATTATTTGTGAATCTGATAAAATCCTCTTAAATGGGTATGAAACTTATAAAAAGGTGGAACCCAACTCATGTGAGAGAATTTTTTCTGATATCTATTTCTTTGTTTCTATTGATTCAACCGTCATATATGCTTCTAAATCTTAAATTAAAGTAATCTTTGCTTCTATATTAATTTATGAGTTGAGTTCTCTATAGGTGTTTGCGTTGGATCAGGTGGATTATTGTTTTACTTATTGCTGGGTGGCTAAGCAAAGTAATAAAGAAAATAAATGACAAGAAAGGCAAGGAAAAATTCTTTAAGCGGAATGGTGGTTTCTTGCTACAACAAGAAGTGTCTTCAAGTCATGGCAGTGTTGAAAAAACCAAACTGTTTAATTCAAACAAGTTGGATAAAGCCACCATTACAATAAGGATTGTATCCTCGGCCAAGGAGGCCAAGGTACCATTTACAAAGGCGTGTTGTCAGATGAAAAAATCGTTGCTGTTAAAAAGTCCAAAGTTGTTGACGAAGGAAAAGTTGAACAATTTATCAATGAGGTCGTCATCTTTCACAAATTAACCATAGGAACGTTGTCAACCTCTTGTGTTGTTGTCTAGAGACAGACGTTCCCCTACTAGTATACGAGTTCATCCCAAATGGAACACATACTCTCTCAACATATTCATGATCCAAACGAAGAGTTCCCATTATCATGGGAGATGTGCTTTCGAATTTCCACAGAAATAGCTGGAGCTCTTTCCGACTTACACTATGCAGCTTTTATACCCATATATCATCAAGACATTAAGTCAACCAACATACTCTTGGATGACAAATACAAGGCAAAAGTTTCTGACTTTGGAACTTCAAGATTAATTGCTATTGATGAGAGTCACTTGACCACACTACTACAGGGGACCTTTGGGTATTTGGATCCAGAGTACTTCCAATCGAGCCAATTTACTGAGAAAAGTGATGTTTACAGCTTCGGAGTTATTATTATTGAGCTTTTAACTGGGCAAAAACCAATCTCTTCCACTAGATCTCGAGAAAGTAGGGAGTATAGTCACGCATTTTATGGAATCACCTCGCAAGAAGATGCCTAAACTTGAATGGGAAGAAGAGACATACAATGAAAGTGTAGCAGTTGTGTTGGAAGGAATCAGAATGTCACAAGGAGGTTCAACCATTCACCAACACTAAAAAAGTGAATACAATACAACTGATTTTTCTGAGGCTTGGGCTGTTGCTTCGACCTCAACAGGGTCATTTTTGGATAGTGGTAGTGGCACAGCTTTATCATTTGATGTCCAACCACTATTGCATATACCAAGTAGTGAAGTATAAACTATATATGCAATGCTTGTCCATGCTAGATACCAGAAAGCTTTGTTATTCAAATGTTAATTAGAATAATTATGTGCTGTCATGTTATGTTACAAACATGTACTAATAACTTATGCTTTGGATTGACAATGATAATAATATTTTTCTATACCATAATTCATTTTAAGTGATAAAAATAAAAATAAATAAATGATTATTCTAGATTTTTCATATAGAATCATTCACCACTTGATTGGGTTACAAAACTTAATTTAGTTTTGTTTGATTTAATTATTTTGGAGATTGATTATAAGTCATTAGTCAGAGCAAAGTATGAATGATGTTCAATTCAAAAAAGATACGTACAAAGAAAAGTACACAGAAAAATCAATGTGTGGTTCAAATTCATTAGTGTGATGGGATCATTCAGAATAAATCTGAACCACATATTGAATTTTCTGTATACGTCAAATTGTTGTGTTGAATTTGGGTCAAGTCTATGAACTACATGCCTTTTCATCTCTAAACCATATATATTGCCATGACTTAGGACCACACTCAAAAATCAAGAAGCTCTAAAGAAGTTGGTACAAGTCACAATAAAAATTGACTTTTTGAAAGTGAATTGAGCTGGCTAGTGAAAGAAATGGAAGAGTGAAGGAGATAATAATGATGATTTAGATTAAATTTATAAACAGAATAAAGCACAGGAAAAGCATCTTTGGCAAGGCCACAAACCCCTTCAAAAAGCTTTAGGTTCTTGCTTTTGCTTTTTTTTAAGCTCCATCTATGACTTCTTAACCCTTTGTACTCAGGAGTGTTTTTTCTTCCCTACTTTTGGCGTTGCTGCCCTAACAAGAATGGAATGTCCCTAGAGCACATAGAATCCAAGCAAGGCATTTCTACCTCTGTGTGGAAGCCTATTACAATAGAAACAAGTATCCTTGGTAGGGTCACTTTAGACAAACTACTGTACGATAAACTCCCACGATAAACTCCAGATACCTACAAGTACCCACAAATCACAATAATCGGGTTCAACACAAGACGTAAGGGTTTACTACCCTGATGAGTAGGCAGGTAAGTTTAGAAAATTTAACCATTTGCCATTGCTACTCTAAGAATGACATTTTTTAAAGCTATTTTCTACCTTTGGGTTTAACTGTTAAAAGTCTAATTTATCCTCAAAGGCACATTTGTTATGGTGAAATGAACACATAACAACAGCTTAACTATACTAAATTAGGATATTAATTTAGCAATGAAATTATGCTTTAAAGAGGTAGTGCCAAAGCCATCTTAGCTAACGGGGAAACTAGTATTAAAAAACATTCCAATTTTATTGTGTGATAAGCTAGGATTCCCTCAAAATAATACTCATGAGAGTGAAAATAATGAGTAAACAAAAGTTTTTTTTTAAAAAAAAAAGGGAAACACTAAAATCAAGCATGCCTACATTGGAAGACCTATTCTTAGCTGTATTTTAACAAGGGCCAATTTGGTTGTGTTCACATTTTTCAAAAATTTCGAAAACACTCATCGTTTTCATTTTTGTGTGAGAACATTAACCTTTTGGTGTTTTCTAGAAGTGGGTTACTTTTAGAAAAAAATTCTGAAAACAGTTTTTAAAAACAGTTCACCAAACAGGTTGTTTGTATTTTGAGGAAAATGAAGACATAAAACAAAAAGAGTCAGCTTAATTTTGGCTATCCAAACTTAGCTTAGAAACTAAGAAGGGGAAAATAAAACCAAAAAAGCAAAGCTATCACCCACCATCTATCAGCCTCTTTAAATGTAAAAGTTCGAGTTTGTCAGTGCATACAATGGTTCAATCATTTTTAGCAGAAAATTCTGAATGCTTGATAAGACAATGGGAGACAAGATGCAACAAGATGGAATTTTTCCTTCTCTGCCAATAAAATAGAATACAAATCTTACAGTTGCAGAAAATAACCCTTTCATTTTTCTGCATACTAAGAAAAATCAGCCTGGTTTCATGGTTCACTTTGTCACTTTTGAACAAAGTTTATGCCTTCCCTCCATTTCCCTCTTCCCCATCTTGGGCTTCTACAGAAGCTAAATAGACAGCTTCTTCATCAAAACATTCTTTTCTTTCACATTGAGAGAGAGAGAGTGAGAGAGATAGAGACCTTTACTCTTCCTTTCTTTATGTTGGTGCTTTCTGATCTTTGCTTCCGAATAGAGTTTCAGGTTTCTTGTGGATAGCCACTTCCTCATAGCAGCGTGGCACACGAGTAAAAGGAGGCATGAAGCTGGTGGTGGAAGTAGTGGATGCTCATGATCTTATGCCCAAAGACGGAGAAGGGTCAGCTAGTCCATTTGTAGAAGTCGATTTTGAAAACCAATCAAGTCGAACCAAAACTGTCCAAAAGAATCTCAACCCCGTTTGGAACCAAAAGCTTTTCTTCAATCTCGACAAAAGCAAAAGTTACCAACACCAATCCATTGAAGTCTCTGTTTATAACGAGAGGAGACCTATCCCGGGTAGAAATTTTCTTGGAAGGGTGAGAATTCCTTGCTCGAATATTGTCAAGAAAGGCGAGGAAGCTTATCAAGCGTTCCAACTAGAAAAGAAGTGGTTTTCCTCATTTGTGAAAGGTGAGATAGGCCTCAAAGTTTATCTATCACCAGAATCCAAGCCAAATTCTATTCTTTCATTGCCTCCACAACCACAAACACCACAATCAGCACCTTCCAATCCTCCTAAATCTCCTTCCAAACCCGAAGTTTCTGCTGTTAATACTCCTAGAGCTATCGCATCAAAGCCAGAAAAAGAAATTTCCACTTTTGCTGCAATAGAAACTTCTAGTTCCCCTGTCATAGCAGATAACTCGAGAGAGAGTACACAAGCTGAAGAGCCAAAGGAAGCATTCAAAGAGCCTGTCGAAGTAAACGTAGAGACAACTCAACACGTGTACAAACACCAAGTTCAGCAGCAACCCGGTTTATCCTTGGGGAAACGACCAGAAGGCACCTTCTTAACCATGCATCATCAAGCCAACCCACAAGCCAATCCAAGCCACCACGAAGACTACGAATTGAAGGACACCAATCCCCAGCTTGGTGAGCGGTGGCCAAATGGAGGATATGGTGGAAGGGGGTGGATGAGTGGAGGAGAGAGGTTTACAAGCACCTACGACCTTGTTGAGCAGATGTTTTACCTTTATGTTCGAGTTGTGAAGGCCAAAGATCTTCCTCCCAGTGCCATTACCAGCAGCTGTGATCCTTATGTGGAAGTGAAGCTTGGGAACTATAAGGGAAGAACGAAGCACTTTGAGAAGAAGATGAACCCCGAGTGGAACCAGGTCTTTACCTTCTCAAAAGACCGCATTCAATCCTCAGTCCTGGAAGTTCTTGTGAAAGATAAAGAGATGGTGGGAAGAGATGATTATCTTGGGAGGGTGGTCTTTGACTTGAATGAAGTTCCAACCCGGGTCCCACCTGACAGCCCACTGGCTCCCCAGTGGTACAGATTGGAGGACCGGCGTGGGGAAGGGAAGGTGAGGGGGGAAATCATGGTTGCAGTTTGGATGGGAACACAAGCAGACGAAGCGTTTCCAGACGCGTGGCATTCAGACGCTGCTTTTGTTCACGGAGAGGGTGTTTCTAGCGTCCGCTCCAAGGTTTATGTCTCCCCAAAACTTTGGTATCTCCGAGTAAATGTCATCGAAGCTCAGGACATCATTCCAAACGACAAAAGCCGAATGCCTGAGGTTTTTGTGAAAGCCCAAGTGGGGAACCAAGTGCTAAAAACCAAGACATGTCCTACTCCTACATTAAATCCTCTTTGGAATGAAGATTTGGTTTTTGTAGCCGCCGAGCCTTTTGAGGAACAATTGGCCCTTACTGTTGAGGACCGAGTGTACGCTTCAAAAGATGACGTGTTGGGCAGGATAACTCTACCTCTCAGCATTTTTGAGAAGCGGCTTGACCACCGCCCAGTTCATTCTAAATGGTTCAACCTAGAGAAGTTTGGATTCGGTGTCTTGGACGCGGATAGGAGGAAAGAGCTCAAGTTCTCAAGTAGGATACACATAAGAGTTTGTCTTGAAGGAGGATACCATGTACTAGATGAGTCAACTATGTACATTAGTGATCAACGGCCAACATCACGACAGCTCTGGAAGCAACCTGTTGGAATATTGGAAGTTGGGATACTGGGGGCACAAGGGCTTCTGCCAATGAAGATGAAGGATGGCCGAGGGAGTACAGACGCTTATGTTGTAGCGAGGTACGGGCAAAAGTGGGTTCGGACCAGAACGATTCTAGAAACTTTTAGTCCGAAATGGAACGAGCAGTACACGTGGGAAGTCTACGACCCCTGCACTGTGATAACATTGGGAGTACTCGACAACTGCCACTTGGGGATTGAGAAACCTGGTGCTGGTGTAGCACAAGACTCACGGATTGGAAAGGTACGGATTCGCTTGTCAAGCCTAGAGGCTCATCGGATTTATACACATTCTTACCCACTTCTTGTTCTGCATCCAAACGGCGTAAAGAAAATGGGTGAGCTGCAATTAGCAGTTCGGTTCACTAGCCTATCCCTAGCTCACACGATATACCTATATGGGCATCCCTTGCTACCCAAAATGCATTATTTGCATCCTTTCACCGTAAACCAAGTAGACAATTTGAGGTATCAAGCAATGAATATTGTAGCGGTTAGGCTCAGCAGAGCTGAACCGCTGAACCGCCACTCCGGAAAGAGGTTGTGGAGTACATGTTAGATGTAGATTCCCACATGTGGAGCATGAGAAGAAGCAAAGCTAACTTCTTTCGGATAATGTCGCTGATTTCAGGTGCAATTTCAGTGAGCAGATGGTTTGGGGATGTTTGCCATTGGAAGAATCCAATCACATCGGTTCTAGTCCATGTTTTGTTTCTGATATTGATATGGTACCCGGAGCTCATACTTCCTACTATCTTTCTCTACATGTTCTTAATCGGACTTTGGAACTACAGGTTTCGACCTAGGCACCCGCCTCATATGGATACTAGACTTTCCTGGGCGGAAGCAGTGCATCCAGATGAGCTCGATGAAGAGTTCGACACGTTTCCTACTTCCAAACCACAAGACATTGTTCGAATGAGGTATGATAGGCTGAGAAGTGTGGCGGGGAGGATCCAAACCGTGGTGGGAGACATAGCAACTCAAGGCGAGAGGTTTCAGTCGCTGCTTAGTTGGAGAGATCCGAGAGCAACAAGCCTCTTCATAGTGTTTAGTCTTTGTGCAGCGGTGGTGCTCTATGTGACCCCATTTAAAGTGATCGCTTTAGTCGCAGGATTGTACATGCTGCGACATCCTAGGTTTCGAAGCAAGTTGCCTTCAGTTCCCAGCAATTTCTTCAAGAGATTGCCAGCTCGAACAGACAGCTTGCTCTAAACTACTACAGTTGAAAGCTTTATCATGGAACGTATGGTACCTTATAACCCTTACTATTGTTTGACGGTGTGTATTCAATAAATACTAAGTTTGAATTTTTCTGTAATAAGGCAGCTTCATTAGGAGAGAAATGTTTGTCCAAGTATGACTGTAAGTTCTAGCTAATATGGCTGATAGTTCACATTGTAATTGTTTGCAATTCAAATAACTTTCTTGAAGAATTTTGTTTGCATCTTTTGACGCATGCTCTTTGTATAGCCAAATCCAGTTTGTGATAATTGCTAGGTCCGGATCCGGAACTAGAAGGGTAGTTGGTGTAATAACGCTGCTGGTGGAACCACAGCCTGAGAATCAGAACAAAAGCATGTTCTCGCTCTCAAGTGGTAAGCAGTTGCCGGATGAACCACCTCCATTTCTACGGGAGATAAGGGGACAGATTCCCCCCAAACCTCCCTCAGGAGGCATGGCTCTATTTAAGATCGAAAGAAATCCCCTCTTCAAATTCTTAGGAATGTTGTCTGTAATCTACTTGGAGATGGAAGGGAAGTACTGGAAAGCAGCTTCTTAACCTGCCAAATCAAAGAAACTAACCAACAATATACAACCAAAACCTAGTCAAACAATTAACGAGTTTGAGCATCGCGCCACATCCGGGCACAGATGAAAAACAAATGACACAAGGAAACGAGTACACCTTTTCTTGAATAAGAATTTTAAGAATCCAGAGAATGCAATTCCCAATTTCAACCATGGTGCTATATTCTGTTTAGAAAAACCATGGTGCTACATTTTAATGCTAGCAGGAAGAAGACAGAGGAGCTGGACGAGGTAGAATGCGGCTATGGCATGTTTTGTGTCCTTTATGTGCTTAGACCATAACAGTAGAGAAAAGAGCTAGAAAAATCTGGGAGAGCAAAATTTATCAAATGGCAACTCTCTTCTTACCCCAGGCCAGTATGGTACTACTTTTACCCAAACTACAGGAAGGAAAGGACATTCATCAACTACACTACACCCATACTACACCAGCAAAACCATAATGACAGTCAAATAACAATCAAACAGGGGTGCAAAACCTGAAGCTGATTACAAAAAAAAAATCACCAAGTAAATAGTTGCCCAAACCCATGCTAAATACCATCCTCAATAGCCAACAAATTTTGTAACAAAGAGTACAGGTCCCAAAAGGCTGAAAGATCTAGAAGGAATGACAACAGTATCCACAAAAGGGCACTATTCACCGACACCCATGCAGTCAGAAATCACAAATTATAAAAGAGATGCAATTATTCATCAATCCATTTCCCATGTAAAAAGAACCACAGAGAGAATTCAGAGAAGGTCAGAGCATCTGCAAAAGAACATTGGTATGCAGCATCTATATGTAGACACGCCTGTTGTTAGTATAATGGAAGACACTGAATATATGCAATTATTCATCATTCCACACCAAACAAACCACACATGGTTATACCAACTAGAGATGAAGGAATCTCAATATATATCATAGATCCATTGTAATCATGAAACAAAAGAAAATAAATCACTTTCGCATAATAGGACAAAATTTATAAAATTATCACCAATAAAATCTTGAAGAGTACAACAGCCAAACCAAGCTGAAACAAAAGAGAACACAATAGCGAAAAATATCAGTCCTAACGAAAACCAAAGTGATTCCTCTAAAAGACGAGCTCATGAGGCTTCATGCCTGCCTTGAGCGAAAACCTGGCAGCCAAATAGGTCTTCAAATCAGGAACTGCTTCAATGGACTTAATCAAGGGTGCATCCACATTTTTCTGATCATCTAGTACAACAGCCAAACCAAGCTGAAACAAAAGAGAACACAATAGCGAAAAATATCAGTCCTAACGAAAACCAAAGTGATTCCTCTAAAAGACGAGCTCATGAGGCTTCATGCCTGCCTTGAGCGAAAACCTGGCAGCCAAATAGGTCTTCAAATCTGGAACTGCTTCAATGGACTTAATCAAGGGCGCATCCACATTTTTCTGATCATCTTTTTTCCCCTGTGGAAGAACATTCTTCTCCTACATTTTTGCAAGGAAAAATAAATAAATGAATAATAAACAATTAAATTGGATCAGACAAACAAACAGTCTATTCCCAAATTCTATAACAGATGATAAGCAAACCTCTTTCTCAGCTTCAAAGAACTCCCCTTCTCCTTTCTTCTTCTTCTTCTCAACTTGCTTTGCAAAATATTTGTCATCAAAATTTTCAACATTGACTCCAGAGATGTCAACCTTGGTTGAAGTGGCAATCACATAAGATTGATTTACACGTCTAAGAGGAACACCATTAATCTTGAATGGTCCTGTACCAGCAATGGAGAAAATGAGACACGGGTCCAGAAGCTATTTATTATAATGGTACCTAACCAAATGAAAGAAAAGAGGATGGAGGATGAAGCAGATGGCGGTAGTATTGGCAGTGGCAGCGCAGAGAAAAACAATTAACTAAATAAATCAAACTAATTTTTCATTGAAGGCTTTTATCAAGGTAACATATATAATAAATCAATAAAAGCATAGAAGCAATTTTCTGAAAAACTTCACCTCTGAATAAATCTTGTTTGCAAGACACTAACTTTAAATAAAGATCAAAAATTCAATAATAAACACCCCTACATAATCACAATTGGAGTATCAAGTATAATAAAATTCAATTCACTTTACAGATCCATATGACAATTCACAAAAATTCTGGAAATGCGGAGTTGGGTGATAACTAACCATATTTCTTATGCTATCTAATCTCATTAGAATGTTTATGGTAATAAAACATCAATGACAATCACATTAAGTATAGGGCATTAAAAAAATGAGAACACAAATAGTACCCATCTAATGCATCAGCTCAAACTAGCAACAAAACCAGGACAAAAGTACAAGGCATTAAAAAGATACACAAGCCAGAGTTCAACTCATTTCTCAAAAACAACAATAAACCCATTATCCATTCAAAACATAACACCATAATAACAATAACAAAAGAAAAAGCTCACCAGTAACAAGAAGCAACCCAGATGTCAGCTGCTTTAAAAACACAACTCTCTTCCCCTTAAACCTCCCAGCCAATACAATCAGCACAGTCCCTGGAGTAACACTAGCCCTACCATACAACAAAACAATGCATACACATACATATATGAGACATAAACACAGAAAACGAAACAGATCAATACGCACAACTCAGAGCAATTGTCACACTATTTTTCCCAAGAAAACCCATCATAAAATCGTTAACTTTTCACACTTTTTTTTCCCCAAAACTACAATTCTTCAACCTATTCTGCTCATTCATCGAATCAATGTAAAATTGAGTACCTGAGCTTGGTGGGTTTGGGTTTGCGTTTGTTGAGGAGGGGCTTCTTGACATCGTCGGCTGGGTAGAATTTGGGGGCCTTGATGGCGGGTGTGGGGTCTGCGGGCTTCTTGTCGTGACGGGGAAATACGCCGCCGTTTTTGGCCTTGATAGCCCAGAGACCCCTTTTGTGGTACATCTGAGACCTAGAGTACTTTCCTACGCCTCTGATCAGATCTGGGTTTCGACTCACCTTTGCTACTTTCTGCTTCGGCGCCATTGTTGCTCTCTCTCTCTCTCTCTCTGTCTGCAAATGAAGGGGGGAAGAGGCTGCAAAACAGAGTGAGGCTGGTGATAAAAAATGATGAAGAGCGAAATAAAACCCTAATTTAGGTTTTCTTTCTTGGGCTTTTGGGTGAATAAAAATTTCGAAGAGTTTCTTTCTTGGGCTCTCGGGTTTGGGGGAACGAGAAGCCCTTATAATCAATGGCGAATGGAGAGAAGGCCCATAGTTGGTGTAGAGGAGGCCCAAAAAGAAGAAATATGACTTTTTATTTTGTCAAACAATCTCCAATGGTGAATAAAAAAATTTATCAAATTTGAGTAAAATTTTGATGAAAATTTTAATTTGATGTCGTTCATTTCAATGTTAAAATTAAAATTTTTATTAGATTTTTTCACATTTCCGATTATTCAGGAGGACGTCCGAGCGAATGTCCTGGAAATTGTCCAGACATGAACAAAAAAACTGTCAAAATTGTTCTTGATGGACATCCGGAAGGTTGTCCAACCCAACAATAAATTTAAATTTGATAAAAAAATGAAAAACTCCCTTCATTTGATGAAAGTTTTGATATGACTTCGGTGAAAGGGTTGGAAAGCCTCATTTGACGCTTTTTATTAAATTTCAAATTTGATGAAGCATTGATACTGGATTGGAGATGCTCTCAGATGTTTTGGATTGGAGATGCTCTCATATGTTTAAAATTGTTTTTTTTTTTTTTAAAAAAAAAATATGAGCTCATTTATTAAACTCCTTTTTTTGGGGGGTCAAAATTTCACTTTTAAAAATTATTAGAAAAATAAAAAAATGTTTAAAATACGTTAAGTTTTTTAATATTATTTTTGACTTTTCAGGTGATTTAAACTCTAATTGTTAAGGTTCAATCAATCTCGTAAATCTTAATATTTTAGATTTAGGATTATTATTAAAAATAAAATTTAAAAAAAAAAAGAAAAAGAAAATAAGTAAGAATTCACCAATTTTTAAACTCTCAGGACACCTACAACGGTTCATTAAAAATTTCATCAAATCTAAATAAAAATATGACCAATTTCTTTATCTGATATCATTCACTCCAACGGTGAACGACTGTAGCTTTCATCAAAACACAGGATGTTTGAGAAGACGATCAGCCGATCAACCGGCAAGAGCAAAATGAAAAATTTTGTTTCCCTCAATTCCTTTGCCATTTCTTTTTGCCTCCATTTCTACCTTTGCCATTTCTTTTTGCCTCCATTTCTACCATCCAAGTGTCCTGCCTGGATGGAATCACCCTGTTTATCTTCTAACGCGATATATTGGAATTGTGATACTGAGGCATCTTCTCTTGACCCGTAGGGTCAATACCTTCAAGAAAATGTGAGGTGGCAAGACTATAGGATAAAAACAACCAGTTCATTGTTATTCCAAGAAACAAGATGCACTAGTACTCCATTGGTAATGTAATTTTCCTCTCATATGGCTTGTCATTACCAAACATTTCCTCTCTCTATTGCTTTCTTTGGATGTTCATACTATCTATTGCTTGATTCCATTTTAGATCTGTGTACGGTGTGACATACTTGTTTTTCAATCATGATTTCAATGAATGGGGAAGCATTATATTTTCTGGTTTTCAAAAATAATATTTAGGCCAAGTTTGGGAAGACTAAAAAAGTGTACTTTTTGTTTTTTGGACTAAAAAATTAAGGTTGAAAATATGGATGTTTGGGTTAACTTTTTGACTTTTTATTGAAAAAATGTGTAATAAAAAATTGTAAAAATTGATTTGTAGGGAAAAATTTGAATTGGGAGTTGTGCAGCCGTAATTGTTGACTTTTGGTGAATAGTGTTAACTTTTTAACTTTTTGAGTAACTTTTTGGCTTTTTAGCTTTTTTGGAAGTACCCAAACTTGGCCTTAATGTTCATATATTCTCCCTGCAGGAAACAATTGTTGACCCCGAATGCAAACTGGATGTAAAACTTCAACCATCTATTCAAACTGCTACAAACACATTCCAACAAAAGCAAGAAGATGCCAATGTATCCAGATAATCCCCTTGACATACAACAGATTTCGACTCGTTCTCTTGAGATAGTAGCTAGAGTGGACAGTAGTGAAGATCAGGGGATGTTTGAGAGTGGCAATCCAAACCATGGCTGTTTCTGGGAATTGTTCATTTAGACGGACGACCAGGGGGACAGCCGGCTGGACGTCCGGCCGATCATCTGGTGGGATTCACCCCAATGTGCACGCACAGTAAAATAATGAAATCTGTCCTAACTACTCAATTTGGTGAAAATTTTGGACTGTTCTCAATTTGATATGATTCTGATAAAATTTTTATCAAATTCAAATTTGGTGATGCATCTAGTGAACCATTGAAGATAGCCTCAATATTTACAGTTGAAATCATGATGTTATATGGATATGGAGTTTCTTGCAATTACTAGGAATGAATGACTATTAAGTATATATTTATTTACAAATCGGACAAATTAGTTTAGAATTTGTTTAGAAACATTATGATTGGTTTTAATTTTCTAAAAATTGATTTTTTTGTTTTTAGTGAATATTTTTAAAATTTTAAGCATTTTTTTTTACTTTTTTATATGCACCTTACTTAGATGTATCTAAAAAATAAAATATTTGTAAAAAAATATTTTCAAAAATCAATAAATACACAAGAATACAAAAAATGGTATATTGAATTCTCGTTTTTTTTTTTATATTTTTGGTATTTAGTGAAATTTTTTTAAAAAAAAAATCACAAATATTATACTTTTTAAGTGTACTACCATGTCACCCGTGCTATGCATGAGATAAAATAATATGTTATTTATTAAAAATATGATAATTATATTCAATTTTTTGTACTTTGTCTCTCATAAACAAAATTATACATATATATAAGTTTAAGAGTTTTGTTTTAAATGTTCTTTTACTATAATATATAAATAGTATAGATAGATTAAAATTGTTGTATTGACAATTAACAATTAAAATTATCGTTTGTTATTAAAAAAAAATGATATAGTTCTAATACTTCACTATTTTAGAATAAAAATATGTGAATTTTAAAAAATTGTTATATTGGTTTTTGAAAGGTAAATAATTAAAAAAAATTTAAAAACTTAATGAGTAAGATAGAATCATCGTAACATGTAATTTAAAATATATAAAAAAAAGTCAAAAAATGAATAAAAACTCTAAAAAGATGTGATTACAATTAAAACTACTCCCATATTTATTAGTAAGTATAATTTTATTCGGATATCTATTTATACTTTAACATGTTTATTTAAAACAAAAATAAAAATAAATAAAAATATTAATAATTTTGAGTTTTAAAATATGATTTGAAAACTTGCTATAGTAACTTTTGGAAGGAATATATTGCTTGTTTTCATTTTTTAAAAAACACTTATCAGAAAATTATACTTTCTTATTTTCCGTATTTTTTTGTTTTTACTGAATTTTTTTAATATTTTAAACAATTTTTTTACTTTTTAGACACACCTAACAAAAATACACCTAAAAAGTAAAAATATTGTAAAAAAAATCTTTTAAAAATTCACTAAATACCAAAAATACAAAAAAATACAAGAATTCAGTACATTTTTTGTATTTTTATGTATTTATTAATTTGTTAAAATATTTTTTCACAAATATTTTACTTTTTAGATGCATCTAAGTAAGGTGCATCTAAAAAAGTAAAAAAATGTTTAAAATATTCACTAAAAACAAAAAAATACGAAAACCAAAAAACTCAGTTTTCAAAAAACCTAATCTAGAAAACTCAAACCAGACACACTGATACAACAAAACTAATCCAGAAAACTCAAACCAAACCAAAAATTGAATATTACTGTTTGAACAAAGCTAATAAGATTTAAAATAAAATTATAATCGGAAGAAATTAATGATATTGCAACATATGCATTTTAACAATTTTAAATTTTGAAAAAAAAAATAGATTAAGACTTTGAACTTCAATTATCGTACAATATTTTTATTTATATAATAATATAAATAAAGATAGTTAATAGATAGATTAAAATTAATTATAAATATATTTATATTTAAGAGGATATGGTTTTGTATAGTTATATTTTAAAGAGAAAATTAGTCAAAGGTGTAACGCCCTCAAAAAAAAAATAACATTAAGCCCATCAATATAAACATACCTTTATATACAAAAGATCTACATTTCCTCAATTCATCAGAGTACTTCATTACAAAAGTATTACATATTAACAAAAAAAATAAATGCCCTACGGGCTTACAGCTTTCCAAGTTAACACTTGGTTACAAAAGAGAGTATTGACTCGGTTACACATTAAGCCCTTGGCTTGAATTTTACATGTAATACATCAAAAGGAAAATACGGCAACAAAAGTATGTTTGCCCCTAGCCTCCCGAAATGTTCTCAGAGGTGACATGCTACCTGTACCTGAAAATGATGTTCCCATATAGGGTGAGCCACAGCCCAGCAGAGATATACTAAACCAACTATGAACAATGATTAAAAGATTAGCAACTGATAGATGGTCGATACTTACACTTCCATTTACATCTTATTTCAATTCCATGACAACCAAGTCTACGTTACAATTCACTTTTCATTTCTTGTTCAACTTTGGGTTTGAAAACAGGGCTCAGTACTCTGGCCAAAACATTTTGATGAGATTATAGTTCATCACTAGAACACTTTCGACTCCTCGGCCATCATGCCTCGGTATGCGTGATTGGTGGCACGAGGATCGAGACATGCGTATATTTGTGCAAATACATTGCTATGCCCCTTTCCTGCTCTCTGTTGCAGCAAAAAAA